GTTACCTTGATTAATCTTTGCTGTCTGTGATTTAGGGGAACAACTATTTAGTTCTTTAAAACCACAAGGGGGTTGGGGGGGGTTGCTGTTTAAACAATTTTCACCTGCATTTTTGCCTCGAATCCAACTTGCCCAGCTTGCTCTATATTTTCAGAACCAGCCATATCGACAAGCATTAGGCGCCCACCGACAGTCGGCACGTCGAGGATTATCTATGAAAAATCCAGAAGATAGCAAAAAGTTATGAAAATTTCACCATCTAGATAAGGAAGACAGTTCAAAAGCTCAAACAAACCATGCAATGGCTTCTTGAACTTCTCTCATTACAGAGTGTACTTTTAACAATCCTTCTTTTCTCCACTTTCTGAATCTCTTTGGAAATCTTTCCTGCTTCATTACCAGATAGATAAGTAGCATTCTTTGCCTTCTTCCCCATCACTTCAAGCTTCACCTGCAATAACAAAATGGCTTCAAGCTTCCAATTCCATAAGAACAGTCCAAACTATATATATATATATAACAAACTTAATAGTACAAGCAAATCAAACCGAATAGAAATTTGAAAAAGCTTCACATTTCTTGAATGAAAATTGTCATCGTTCTTTCACAAAAGCAAAGAACTAAATCTAGACATGGAAGAACAGAGACCAAATAGGCAAGAAATTGAGGGATTCTGATCATATTACCTTAGTGGCACTGCCCTTAGGCCAGCCAAGCCCTAGCCCTCCACCAGAATTACTCGTTAGAAGATCATATATTTCTTCATTATAAATCTCCAGCACCGTAACTTGTACAAACATTCCAACTCCCAACCGCTCTCCGCCGGCGGCTTCACTTTCGCCGTCGCCTAAAATGTCCTTCAGCGACCGATACACAATCCCGGGCTGTTTCGCACAGCCAAACATGGTGTGGCTCTTGCCGGCGCCAGTGGGTCCGTACATCATAATCGTACATTTCTCCCCCAACTTAACGCCGTGAATCCTCGCTTGGACGAACTTCTTGTAAAACGTATCGAGATCTTCCTCTTCCGACAGAGAAATACCATCGAGGCTGAAATCGCGGTACCCGAAATCAGCCCGAACCCGAACGTTCTGACCGTCAGGATTGATCTGCAGAATCGAAACCGGTTTTTCTTTCCGGTCAGGATATTCTCGGATCCGGCCGATTACTTCTACTGGATGCTCGGATTGGGAGTCTTTAATGGCGGAATTGGGGAAAGGGGATGGATGTGCCCTAGGGGTATGGAAATTGAGCCGCTTCGCTTGAGGAGTTCTCAATTGGCTCATGTGACTTTGATTTGATTTAGAAGACGGCGTTGGAGCCATTACAGTGAAGGGAACTGCAGAAGAAGAATTATCTGGATTTGATTTCAAGATTGATTTGCAGATCACTAGGGTTTCAATCGAGGGGCTTCAAGATTGGATGAAAGGAAGGACGGGGAATTAGGGGAGCTACAGGGGAAGAAGAAGAAGAAGAAGAAGAAGAAGAAGGACCGTTGAAATGAGAAAAAAGAAGAAATGGAAAAGTGCAAAACTCGTAATGATCATTTTGAAGTTCAAACAAAATATAGCCGTTGCGACTTCCCAACGTCCACTTTTTCCATACTTCACAGCACATCACGCACAGCCGCTTTTTGGACTAATTTCGTTATTTTTCTTTTACAACTTTCAGATCAAAATTTAAAAATAAATAAAAACTTCCAAATTTTATTGATAAAAATCAAGTTGTCTATAAAACGGGAAATCGAAATAATGTCTTGCAAAATAAGAGAAATGTGCCCAACTCTTATGCTAAGTCACCTTCACTTTGAGTAGTTTAGTTATGAGTAGTTTAGTTATTGAATTTGTAAACATCGTTGACAGGAGATTAAAGAGTTTCAAGTTTATCCCTACCTACATTTGTACTCCACTATTTATATAGAAGTTTAACCGAATAAAAGAAATTGTGGTGTAATTGGGGCCAAAAACTTTATTGGAATTCTCAAGATGTCATCACAGAAAATGGTCATAAGATTGAGTTTTAATTGGATAACCTTAGCTATTGATCATTTATGAGATCGTTTGTCATGGGGGATCTTAACCTTAGCTATTGATCATTTATGAGATCGTTTGTCATGGAAGATCTTAACCTTAGTTCGATCTATGACACACGATTAATTCCTTTGGAACATGGCCTTCAAGACTAATGGGAGACTGGCTCCCTTTGGGGTTTCAACCTTATTTGGCCATAAGTGCCTTGCCCAACCTTTATGGGCAATTTTCTCAACTAAGCAACGCTAATACAAAAATTGTTATCCCTTTTCGCCTGCATCTAGCTCTTTTAAATTCTTTGCCATTCAAACAAAATGCAATTTAAATGCGTGAACAACTTATTCCTAATTAACACTTAAAACTATGAATCATAAGTACTTTTAGAAGAATTAAACACATGTATCTATAGCTAATTTGCACTGAGGTGAATCAAGAACAAAATTGTTGAAAAAGTTGTTTCAGAAATTGAATTCAAATGCTAAAACAAAGCTTACAACCTATAGAAAGCAAATAACAACAAAAAAAAAATATAAAGGAAAACGGCCACTACAAACTCGAATGAAACACTAAGAATCCTAAGTTTATTGCTCCCTTTTAACTTATTCCATGTGTTGAAAGAAGTCTTCAAAATGGAGCTTGAATAGAACTTAAAGGGAGATTCGATATAGTGATAAAAAAAGAAACTTGTACAATCATATTTACCAAAATGAAGCTTTAGCTACCTTTATAGACTTCAAGATCTAAGATTTCTATTGAGGTCCGTGTGTGAAGTGTAGCGGATAAAAATTTCTTGATTTGAAAAGTTTAGATAGAGAACTTTCTAAAAATCTGTCAAATCCTAAATCTGAAGTGATAAATGAATGAGGTTTAGTTCTAGCATTATACTCAATGAATTTCACAGTCGCCCAAATTCAGTTGATTTTTGTCTTCTTCCTTCAAGTATGATCGCATACATAACTCATTTAGATTTTTCTACAATTATACACAAAAAGAACAAAGACTGAGCTTTTTTTTACACCCATTTACTCTGTTTTACAAATAAAAGCTCAAACACTAATATACTTGTTTTTACTTCAATTTACTTTTAAACAATGTGAAATATGACAATAGAGATTTACTTTATGAACAATAACCTAAATAACACTTGTAAATGAGCGTAATCATAAGGTCCAGTGATGGAAAGGGAGGAAGAGTGGCAATTTAAGGATCCACAACCAATCAAAAAGTTACACCTAGGAGGGAATGAGAGGTGACCAACTCCAATCAAATCTCACAGGCCAGTTGTCCCATAGCGACATTCACTCCCCACTCTTTGTAATGAGGTCTCTACACTCCTGACCCTCCAACTTTAATCTAACAAATCCATTAATTTCAAAAAAAAAAAAAATCAATTTTATATCTAATAGATACCAATGAAAAATATTGAATTAATAAAAAATATTTAACTTTTAAAAATATGGTTTAAAACAGTATATATATATATATAGTTTCCAGACAACTTTTTAAATGCGTCAAACGCGTTTAGGCTTCAACTTCCTTCCTTCTACATAGGTGCAAAGAAAGTTTGGTAAGAAAGAACTATTTAAGAGGAATAAATAACAACATGAGACCATGAAGGTCGTAAAATCATTAACAATCTTAAGAATATTTTCTTTATGGCTCTTTTTTCTCCCAAATTTTATTAGAATAATGAGTTCTACATCAAAATTTTGGTTTATTTTATCACTTTATAGTACTTTGAGTCTTCTTTAACTAACCTTTTTTTATTAAAATAAAAACTGAAATATTTTCTAAACATTCTTTCCATATGTCTACCGTTTTCTTCACTCCATCCACTCTACGCAAACTCCACAAAGATCAATTAGCAAAACAATTATGGGAATATAATTCAACTAATTAAAACCTAAATCTTAAGCTAAGTATAAATCATTGACTCTAAGGCCACAAGTTCAAATTCTTTTTTTTTTTTTTTTTTAACTAAAAAAAAAGCAAGAAAACAATTGAAACCAAAAACAACAGAAAAGTAAGATCAATTTCCACTTTATAATTGAGTGTTGACCGGGAAATTTTGTATGACTTTTTCAATCAATTTAGGGAAAAGTATTTACATATAGTTGGCAATTTTATGGGGGGAAGACATACCTATTTTATTTTTGGTTTTCCAAAAACGAATTCTACATATTGCTTTAAAAGATAATAAAAGTATAACCAAATTTTTTAAAGGTACAAATGTGTTTGTAATATGGTGAAAATTTAATAAAAGCAAACATAACTTTAAAAATAAAAAACCTATGGCAACACTAAAGTTACGCCGTGGTGACGGAATCCTCCAGAGTTTCTTCCGGAAAGAATGATTCTAAAATTAATGGCGGTTTCCTTTTAAGTGAAGTTAACGACAGAAACAGAGAAAATTCGCTCGGATTATATAAGGCCATAACAAGGTCTTTGTGAAAGAACTTGTTAATGCATATGACGGAATCGAGTATCCGATCATCTGTTCTTCCACAAAGAATGTTTACAAGATTAATTGCGGTTTCCTTCCAAAGAAAACAAAGCAATATATCGACGGAAACGGAAAAAAATCGCATCGAAAATCGAAGGATGATGCAAATTCTAAATTGGCACGACAGAGGAACGAACCTTGACAGCAATGGCTGCCGTGCCGACTAAATAAAAGATGATCAATCGAACCAATCATTTAGAACAAACACGAGAGGAGTCATTCATCGATCCACATATAACTAAATAAATTCGTAAGGCGCACAATATTTTAACAGCGTACGTACCTCAATCATTGTGACTCCATTTTCTAATGCAAATATCGATGCAATATTTGAAAGCTATATATTCATGCATCCATTACAGAGCTGCATTTCAGAAACCAAAGCAACCAAATATCTGAAAAACAGGAGCAAAATAAGAGAAGTATTATTATATAATCATATTCGAGATGGAAAGAGAACTGTGCGATTACAGAATTAGAACAAACCGAACCGATTCTCCGTTTCCGAACTCAGTCCTATACATTGATCGGTAACAGATTTCGCTACGCCGATATGAAAATCAAGAGAACATAAAAGAAAGAGAAAATTTCCAGAAAGCATTTTAAGTGAGAGAGAGAGAGAGAGAGAGAGAGAGAGGAAACTCGTCTCTCATCTCCCATCCTTGCAGTTTTGAGAAATGGGAAATATTAACGCAAACTAGAAACTAAAATTTACAGCCAATGAAATGACGCCACGTAAGCAGTTACATTTTAATCCACCGAGCGAGCTGGGCCGGGTTAACAATCCCAGGCAAGTGGGCCCCCTCCATCTTCAAGATGCTTGCCACCTCAGCATAGCTCTGATTTTCCTTTTCAACACTAGGCGCAGCGGCGGCTTCCGGCTTCGTCTTCTTATACTCGGCTGGCCGCGAGCAAGTCATTCCAACGGCTTCACTTCGAGCCGGCTCGTATTTCTCCCCAAACAAAGTGCCTTTACTGAGAAACTCGTGAGCCAAGTAGCCAGCCAGAAGGCGATTCGACACAACGGAGTCGGCTCCCACAGCTTTCGGCTTCACAAACGCCTCAACTTCCTTCCGCTTCCTAGACGCCCCAGGAGGCAACATGGTGGTGGTGGTGCGTGAGTGAACACTACTCATCTTCAGCCTTAGATCATGCCACGTGGCACTACAAAATGGTAAAATCGTAAATTCCTACTCCTAAAAAGGTTCACCCGTCAAATCACTAGAGTTGGACGTTTCGGACGTAACAAATTTTAAATCGTGAAAGACAAGAGGAAAAGGACAAAAAAGAAGGAAAATAACTAAAAAAGGAAAATAATAATAAAGGACTTGGTGCGGTTAAAAAAACAACAACGAAGAAGAAGCAGACGGTGAATGCCAGTAACTTTAGCAACGAAAAGGGTGAAAACGTAAATTCCGAAGGTAAATCCAGAGAAAACGGTATGTTCAAACCGAATCCGAAACGTCGACACGACGGAATCGGATCCAGGGGCGGCGATTGTTGCGGCGGCGATGGATGAAAATACGGCCAGATTTAAGCACCGATGGCGGTCTGGAAAGTCGCCGCCGTAGACGGCGAAGGAAAAAGGAGAACCTAGGGTTCTAGGGTTGAGATTAATATAAAGAGAGATCGAGAGAGCGAAAGAGGAAAACGGAAAGAGAGAAACAAGAAAGGCGAAAATCTGAGAATATATATGGGTGAAGAGAATGAGGGGAACTGGTGGTTCTTGATTATATTTGGTGTGAACTTATGAAACTACCCTTATTGTTTGTCCAAAATTACTGGATTTGCCATCGGGTGTACGAAATGACAGGAATCTCCCTGCTACGTCGTCGTTTTAGGCTTTAGTGGACGGAAGTACGATTTTCTAGCCACCATTGGTAACATTCTAATTTTAATGATATAGCCTGATAAATATAAATACGATATTCTTCATTTATATAATCAATTTCAAAAAATAAAAACGTGCAATTAATTCACGTTTATGGCGAACTAATTATTTAAACTCAATTTAATGAGCTAAGAAATCAAAAGTCAAACACGCATTAATAATATGAAAATATATTTATTTTAAGAATTAAAAATTATAATAATTTGATTTTAAAAAAAATTAATATAACCACTCAAAAATAGATCTCCAGCAAAAAAAATAATGACGACATATCTCATATAATAATTTAATTAATTATTTCTCATATTTTGATTCAATAATTACAAAATTGAGATTTTAAGACCCAATAAAAAATATGCGAAAATTATTTATTTGAAGCTAAATGGTCAATTGAAGTTTAATTTAATAAATAAAATATGAAATACTAATATGAAAAAAGAAAAGAAAGGGAAAGTGATGAAGATTTCATGACCGTACCTAACGCGCTAACATTCATGATATTGTGACGCACCAAACAATTTTTTTTTTTTAATGATTTTATTGGCATAAAAACCTCATGAAATTATTATATAATTTGTATGATTATTATTTTATAATAATCTTATAATTTATAATAGCTTCTATTATACATGTTTTAATGTATTAAAATAAAATGATTTTATAATATGAAATTTTGCATTCCTCCGAATTTTGGAGTGTCTTGCTTTGAGAATCTCCGCATTTTAAATTATATAAATCTAAAAATGATTTTTAAAAATAAAATTCGTTTAAATCATACAAATTATTCCATAACATACCATAAAAAGATCTTAATCAATTCGTTTTCATAAATGATTCACACGAACTAAATAAAATATAAGTTCAAGTTTCTCGAGCCAAAAACACATTTTTATAACAAATTAAATAAACAAAATAAAATTTATGTATTGTTATTAATTATTTGAGTTCATTTGGCACTAATTTTTCTAATATTTCGAATTTTTTTATAGTTATAAATTTATAATTAACAAAATTTTATTATTTGAAAATTAAAACAAAAATGATTGCTAAAAATTCAAATTTTAATAACCTTTAATAATTAAAAAATATATAAAACAATATTACAATTAAATTTTTTAAGGTATAATATTCTTTAGATATATGTTGAAAAATATATATCTTAAGCGAGGTAAATATGAAGATAAAACGTCTCGTTAAACGTGTTCTACTCCCTCATTTCTTGTTAAACGTAGAATTTTCGTACAGATAAAATAAATATATCTAATCAAGATGTAGTAAACGAACACGTATCTCACCTCGCACGAACATGAGTTTGTGAGATGATAAAGCGCATGTGAAGTTCACAACCTACCGGGCATTTGACCATTTTAAATAAAAATTATTGAAAAATAAATAAAATTAATCTCCAACCATCTTCTTCTTCTTTTTTATTTATTTATTTATTTATTTATTTTTATTTTTATTTTTTGTCGTGGAAATATAACGACTCCTACCTTATTTAATGAGTATACGCGTAATATAAAATAAGAAAAGCATTTTCCAACAACCTTTCATACATATCGAAGCTGCAACTTGCCGGAATTTTCTCTCTCAACTATCATATTCTCTCACTAAAATTATTATTATAAATTTAGTCTTTCAAATTTAATATATTTATAACTTATATTATTAAATAAAATTTAAATTTTTTTGAAATGTTCTAACAAAATAATAATAATAATAATAAATTTTAAGAGTCCTTTAATTATAGCTTAAAATTAAAGAGTAAAGTCATAATTAGCCGTTTTTTTTCATGATATAAACGAAATTTGTATTTTAATGTAGAGGTAAATTTTAATGGTTTAGATTAACCAAATTTGAACTCAATCTCAAATAATTGCACGAGAGACTATTTAGAACGATGTAGCTAGATCGAGATTATACCAAATCACAATGACCCGTTTCTGCAAGACTTTTTGCAAGATTCAAACACCTATTATAATAGCTATCGTCCATTTTTGTGCCCACAAAATGTGGAGTACGACTCTAATAAATAATTAAATTGTGATAATTTTTTTAACCTAACGTAGAGATTTCATATTATTTAAATCAAATTATTATTGAATTAATTAATTTAAAAAAAATTAGTCATTCTCGAGTCTAAATAGATAAATCACGAGTTAAATCGATACTTTATCGGAGCTTTAATTAATAATGGAATAATAATTCATCCACTTTTGACCTAAAATTCTGGCATAAGAAATTATAAAAATATGATCCATAAATGTCTTTATCATGTCCCAATCTTAGATTATTTGTTTTTTTATTCATGTCATTTTCTTCTAAAATTGTTCTAATTCAATTAATATTTAAAATTTATTTTTAAGTATAGACTATACAAATTTTAAAATACATTCAAATTTTAGATATAGTTTTATTTTATTTTCTATTTTTAAAAAATAATTGTAAAATTTAATATTATGGATGACATTTGATCATCGCTTGAACAAGATAAGATCAGACGAATCAGCAAGAAATTTTATTTTTTATTTATTATTTTTTTTTCCGGTCACATTCTTCCCTCATTAAATAAATATTATTATATTGGGCTTTGAATGATCCAACTCTTTATACATGGGCTGATGGGCCGGCCCATAAATTTTGAATCCAACTATGAATCAAATTTAATGATTAGAAATATCCGATCAACTCGACCCTACTTTATCCGCAGGGTGCAGTGTAACGGCCCAAATCCACCGCTAGCAGATATTGTTCTCTTTGGGCTTCCCCTTAACGATTATATTTGTCAAGAAGTGCAAAATCGTATGGATACAATCCTCATTGTGCATCTTGATCAATTGGATCGTTTCTTTGTAGATTCCAATAGGAAGCTTTTGGCTTTAAAACGCGTCTGTTAGGGGAAGGTTTCCACACCCCTTGTAAATGGTGGTTTGTTCTCCTCCCCAACCAATGTGAGACATCACAATCCACCACCCTTCGGGGCCCAGCGTCCTTGCTGGTACTCTTTCCTTCCTCCAATTGATGTGGGGCTGCCCCCAAATTCACTCCCCTTAAGGGTCCAGCATCCTTACTGGCACACCACCTCGTGTCTACCCCCTTTGGGGAATAGCGAGAAGGTTGACACATCGTCCGGTGTCTAGCTCTGATACCATTAGTAACGGCCCAAATCCACCGCTAGCAGATATTGTCATTTTTTAGCTTTCCATTTTGGGCTTCCCCTCAAAGCTTTAAAACGCGGTCTGTTAGGGGAAGGTTTCCACACCCTCATAAATAGTGGTTTGTTTGACGCGTTTTAAAGTCTTAAGGAGAAGCCCGAAATGGAAAGCCCAAAGAGGACAATATCTGCTAGCGATGGATTTGGGCCGTTACATGCAGGTTGAATTATCAACTTCATATTTGGTTCGGGATGATATATATATATATATATATAATTTATTTATTTATTATTTAATTTCATCTATTTTTTTTCTTAGGTGTATCTAACAAATCTTTAAGATAAAGTTTATGTTTTTTTTAATATAATTTTAAAAAATTATTGAAATTGAGCTATAAATATTTTTATAAAAAATTAAGTTTATAAATATTAATGCTATTACGAATTTGTTTTAACTTGTTATTTACTTTTGATAATTTTATATTCACAAATATGGGAAAAATTTAAATTTGTATTATATTTATAAATATGACCAAATTTTGTATTTAAACATTTATTAGGATAATACGTCACCTTTAATATAATTATTTTGATTTATTTAAAAAGCATTTATTATTCATTTAATCCCATTATGATAATACCAAAGTGTTTACATTGTTGTTTGGGGCTGATTTGTCGGTGGGTTTACTAAAAGCTAAAAGCATTAATCACTGTATTAGAAGTATATGAAAAACACGTATTAATTATAAATAATACATAAATAATTCCAATAATTAATCACTAAAACCAAAATAATTATATTAATAATGCTACCCTCTTTTTTAATTAATTAAATTTTGGATAAATAATAAGTCAAAGTGCCCTAGATCATAATAAAATTAAATAATATTTCATAAATAAAAATATAATTTATTACACAATCTAATTTATAAAAACTTGAAAGTCGCCAGTTTCACAGTTAAAACGCGTTATTATCTTCGTTGGCACATTGCGCAGTGTTGACTCTAATACTATTTGTAACAGTTCAAGTGCACTACTAATAGATATGAACATACTAACAAATATGAACATGTGTATAGTAGCTGAGATGAATTAAATGCGAAGGAAAAATGGGGATTTTAATGGGATATAAATAGGTGTGTGGATGAGGGTGGAGAGTTCATCCATTGGGTCATTGTTGATTGGGGTGTACCAAGATGGGTAGTGGCTGGAACAGAGTGGCTTTGTTCTCTTTGTTATGTTTTCATGTTGTTGTGTCCAGTGTGCTTGCTAGGGGAGTGGCTAAACCGAGGAATGAGGAGGAAGAGAAGTTTCTGTTCTTTGGCAAGGGTGGTGGACTAGGAGGTGGATATGGTGGTGGCAGTGGTTGTGGAGGAGGAGGAGCTGGTGGTGGCAGTGGTTTTGGAGGTGGAGGAGCTGGTGGTGGCAGTGGTTTTGGAGGTGGAAGTGGTGGCGGCGGCGGTGGTATTGGAGGTGGAAGTGGAGGAGGCTTTGGAGGGGGTCATGGGATTGGTGGTGGTGTAGGAGGTGGAGGTGGAGATGGAGATGGAGGTGGAGATGGAGATGGAGATGGAGGCCTTGGAGGTGGTGATGGTGGCGGGTTCGGTAATGGTGGTGGTTATGGCGGAGGATTTGGTAAGG